CACCACACCCGGCACTTTTCCCTGCAACCGCAGGAAGTGCTACACCTGCCCCCATCCCAGGCCCCAAGAAGACTTTCCACATCAAGCAGATGTTCACCTGCACATCTGCCAAAATACTGCATCCGCTGTACCCGGTGTGGCTTCCTCTACATCGGGGAAACCAAGCGGAGGCTCGGGGACCGCTTTGCAGAACACCTACGCTCGGTTCGCAATAAACAACTGCACCTCCCAGTCGCGAACCATTTCAACTCCCCCTCCCATTCCTCAGACGACATGTCCATCCTGGGCCTCCTGCAGTGCCACAATGATGCCACCCGAAGGTTGCAGGAATAGCAACTCATATTCCGCTTGGGAACCCTGCAGCCCAATGGTATCAATGTGGATTTCACAAGCTTCAAAATCTCCCCTCCCACTACCGCATCCCCAAACCAGTCCAGATCGTCCCTGCCTCCCTAACCTGTTCTTCCTCCCACCTATCCCCTCCTCCCACCTCAAGCCGCACCTCCATCTCCTACCGACTAACCTCATCCCGCCCCCTTGACCTGTCCGTCCTCCCTAGACTGACCTATCTCCTCCCTAACTCCCCACCTACACTCACCTTTACTGGCTCCATCCCCGCCTCTTCGACCTGTTTGTTTCCTCTCCACCTATCCTCTCCTCTATCCATCTTCTATCTGCCTCCCACTCTCTCCCTATTTATTTCAGAACCCCCTTCCCCTCCCCCTTTTCTGATGAAGGTTCTAGGCCCGAAACGTCAGCCTTTCTGCTCCTATGATGCTGCTTGGCCTGCTGTGTTCATCCACCCCTGCACCTTGTTGTCTCGGATTCTCCAGCATCTGCAGTTCCTACTATCTCTGGCTCTGAAGAAGCTGGACCAGTGTCAAGTACTAAGCACATATAAATAGTGGGTGACATAGTGATGGGATACCGGCCTCTGTGAAGTTATTCCAAGTCCCACCTCATTAATTCTCATCCATCATCAAGAGGTTCCTTCCAATACAAATCTCTCTAAATGCTTTCCTTCCTCTTCTATATATACTGCATTATAGTTAGAAAGTCAAAATGTATTGGTAAAGATCTAGCCATTTTCACTGTGTAAGATTTTTCTACATTTGTTATGTTGATAATGTTGCTAGACCAGACATACCAAGTATATTGCGATACCAGAGACCCCCATTTTATATTTCCCATTTTGAGGTCTACATCACCAAAAGAGAAGTTTGGTCAGCCCTTATTAAACACTGCCAATGCAAGTGCTCATCATACTACATGTTCCATTTCAGCAGCTAAGATCATTCATTCCATCAGATGGGAAACTCTGCACTTGTTAACCAACTCTAATCTCCAACACAGAAACCCTATAGTGTGGAAGCAGGCCATTTGGCCCATCAAGTCCACACAGATCCTCCGAAGAGCATCCCCACCTAGACCCATCCCATTCCTGTTATCCTGCATTTCCCATGACTAATCCACCCAGCCTGCACTATAGGCAATTTTGCGCGGCCGAAGAGCCTAACATGCACGTCTTTGGTCTATTGGAGGAAACCAGAGCACCTGGAAGAAAACCACACTGACACAGGGAGAATGTGTAAGCTCCATATAGACAGTTGCCCGAGGCTGGAATGGAATCGTGGTGCTGTGAGGCAGCAGTGCTAACTGTTGAGCCACCGTGTCACAATTCTGGTCATGCAAAATAGGTCAACAATATTGTATTGCAAGAGCCCCAATGTAACATATTTGCCTCAGAATAGCCCCATTTTGAAATACAATTTCAAAGGCTTTTTGTTTTTATTCACAACACAGTGACTGTCACTGCTTAGTTGAACACCACATTGCAATGTGATATGTCAAAGACAAAATGACAGTGTTATACACGAGGTGTCTCAAATTACATTCTTCAAGCTTTACAGAGGCCATGAGTTTCCCTGTTCACATTCGAGTATCCTAAAATGCTAGGTAGTTCACAGAAAGTGAAGACTTCCCTGAAATTCATGACACCAATAACTGTGAGAGAACCACATACCTCTAGTCAGCAGCTGGCATGTACCTGTACTTTGACATGTCGATCACTGTAAAACTAGCTTCAAAAGATCTGATTCAAACACAATTTCAATGAGTGGTTTCCCTGTTTGCATCACACATTTGGGAAATGAATGCATTAAGAAATTCGCATGAACAGTACATCTTTAAGAAGCAGCTGGGCATGTTCTCCCACAGTTTGCTTTTTGAAAAGTAAAGCCACACCTCAAGTGGTTTGCATTCCAGTTTCAATATCAGTTCCAGCCAAATGTTTGTGCAGAGTCTGAGGACTCTTGTGGTTTATAAAATGATAAGAATTTCTGCAATTAGGGACTGAGAAGAAATACCAGGCCTGGTCTAGTGACGTCCACATCCCAAGGAATACGTATTGATCTGTAACTAGTTATTCTTGATGACATAACTCTATTATTACTGGTAATGCTTTTGGGGTATCAAATGACTCATGACCACCAAAAAAAGGTTTGTAAACCTCATGAGCCTGAAGCCATTAACATTGAAGTTTAGAGGTAATAAAAATGTAGGTTTGTGATTTGAGATTTAAAAACAAAAGAAAAATTGTTCCATAGTTAACATATCAAGAGGACACACAAAAAAATCCCATATCTGTCATAAATGTAAAAAAAATTTAAGCCTTTTCTGCATGATGGGTTTATAGTTTTGGATGAAACATGAGAATGTACTACACACGTCATGCTTCAAGATATTATCATGAAGGTTAATCAGAAAGCAAAAAGTAAATTAATACTCACCAACGCTCGACAAAACACAAACCTGAGAAATAATTTATTTTTGGCACCATGTATAGAGCATTATTGAAAAGTCAACAGACACTGATTAAATGGAGCAAAGCAGCAATATTACTCAAGTAGCATCAGGTTACCACACTGACTGCCCTCGTCATATCCAACGCCCAGCTGAAACTGCCTAAGGTGTGTTTCCAGGCCAACAAGTTTCAAATCCTACCTGAAAGTAACCATTAAGGTCCGCTCACTGACGCCTTTCTTTCAGCCCACAGGGAATCGCACATGGAACAAAGAAACCACGGAAAATCTGTTCTCCCTTCACTCTTTTGGGATTTTTATTTTTACTTCAGTCAGAGAAGACTTCTAGAGAATAGCCTTCCTCCTTTGAGCACAACTTCCTGAAACTTTAGGTGTGGTTTGATTCATTGTGAGTTCTACTTACTCACAAAACAATGAGAATGTTTGCAAAGGAGGCCAGATCACAAAACCACAGCCTTCTGATTTCAAACAGGTAAAATTACAGCAAGCCTGATTGGTTTACAGATTTTATACTAAAATTGAAATACCTTGGATGAAAATTGATGAGCTTTTCTGGACTCGAGTAAACTTACAATTTTTTAAAATCATTTTGCCACTGTAGAATACTTGTGATACCATTATGCTGAAGCTCCAGGACAATCATCCTTTGCAATTCATCTAACAGCACAACGGGTCCATGGTAGATGCCATCTCCTTGGCCCTAAACTCATCCCTGGAACATCTGGATAACAAACATACCTAAGTCAGGCTCCTACTTTTTGCATACAGCTCCACCTTCAACACCATCATTCCAAACAAACTCATCTCTAAACTCCGAGACCTAGGTCTGGGCTCCCCACTCTGTAACTGGATCCTTGACTTCCTGACCAATAGACTGAAATCGGTAAGAATAGGCAACAACACCATGATGGAGGACCATGATAATCCTCAACACCAGTGTCCTGCAAGATTGCGTATTCAGCCCCCTACTATACACCTGATACACTCACGACTGTGTGACCACATTCTGCCCCAACTCCATTTACAAGTTCGCTGACAACATCACCATTGTAGGTTGGATCTCAAACAACGATGAGACAGAGTACAGGAAGGAGATTAAGTGCTTGGTGGCAATGGTGTAAAGACACCAATCTCTCTAACAACATCAGCAAAACAAAGGAGCTGGTCATTGACTTCAGGAAGTGAGTTGGGGGGCACTCCCCTGCCTGCATCAATGATGCTGAGATGGAGATGTTCGAGAGTGTCAAGTTCCTGGAAGTGATGATCACCAACAACCTGTTCTGGTCTACCCACGTCGACACAACGATCAAGAAAGCACAACACCATCTCTCCTTCCTCAGGAGGCTAACGAAATTCTGCATGTCCACAATGACTCTTACTGATTTTTATAGCTACTTCATAGAAAACATCCTATCTGGATGCATCACAGCATGGTTTGGCATTTGCTCTTCCCAAGACCGCAAGAAACTACACAGAATCGTGAACATAGCCCAGGCCATCATACAAACAAGCCTTCTATCCACTGACTCCATCTATACTTCTTGCTGCCTCGGGAAAACAACCAACATAATCAAATACTCTCTTCCACCTGTTGGCAGCAGATCTAAAAGTTTCAACACACAAACAGATTCAAGAACAGTTTCTTCCCCGCTGTGGTCAGACTTTTGAACGGACCTCTCAAATGTTAATTCTCTCTCTGCACCTTCTCTGTGGCTATTATACTGTACTCTGCACCCTGTTCTGCTAGCCTGATGCACTTTGTATGGTATGATCTGCCTGTATAGCACGCACAACAACACTTTTCACTGTACCTCAGTACATGTGACAACAATAAATCAAATCAAATCATAATATATATTAAAAAAGTCATTTCCTTGAACATTTTTGATTCTTCATTTTACCAAATACCAGACTCTATGGCTGAAGGGTTACTGATTGCTCCTGAACTACATACATCTTGTGCGTTCTTCCTGTCCCCATCCCCAGTTTAAGAATTCTTCCATTTCCGGCTTTCTTCAGTTTCCTCACCAAAAGGTCCTTATGTGGAATCTCCTGCTTTTGTTGTGGAAGCCATCAAAACAGGCCAAATGCCCTCCTTCCCCATTACCGCACTGCAGATGGGAAAGCCTACTGGACCACATGCCTATCACGTAGTCGGCTTTCCTTTGGGATCCCTTCCTAGTGATATCCTGCCCGCATTTGAAATTGCCAACTAATCAGAGGCAACATCAGTGGGACAAACCGCTGTGGCACTGCCATGTGGAAGTTCAGAAACAGCTGACACTAGGGGGTACATTTTATGATGGTGCTGGTACCTGTGTGGAGTTTGCATGTCCTCCCGGTGTCTGCAAGGGTTTCCTCTAGGCGCTCTAGTTTCCTCCCATTGTCCAAAGATGTGCAGGTTAGGTGGATTGGCCATGCTAAATTTTCTACAGTGTCCAGGGGTGTGCAGACTAGGTGGGTTAGCCATGGGAAATGTACGGTTATGGGGACAGGGTGAGATGCTCTTTGGAGGAGGGTGTAGACTTGATGTACCAAATGGCCTCTTTTTGTCCTGTAGGGATTCTATGATTCGTGCCCTCTGGGAACAAGTGGTAATCAAGGCAGTAACAATGTACAGGCCCATAAACTGGTCATTAATTGACCACTTAACAGTATCAATTGATTGCCCAGAACTTAATTCCTGTGGTACCCAGAAAGCAGTGTGAATCAGCCAACCTGCCCAATTGTCTTTCTGTGGAGGACAGCTCTCCAAGTTGTTGCAGAAACTCTGTAATTAGGGCTTTGCAGGGTGGGCAGGGCAGGTGTTCTGTTTTTCCAAAACTAACATTGATAGCAGGTAGTTCATCCAGTTTCATTCTTTGACTTCTGTTTGGTTTGGTATGACTGAGTTCTTTTGCTCAGACATTTCAGAGGACATTTGGAGTCAAGCCCATTGCTGTAGCTCTGAAGTCACAGGTAAGGGTGGCAGATTTCATTCGCTAAAGGACGTTAATGAACAGATGGATTTCTTACACCAATTACTGATAATGTCATGGTTACATCTTTGAAACCAGTTTTCAATTCCAGCACTTCTTTAATTTAAAAAAAAATGAATGAATTGAATTTAAATTCAATTTCTAACCAGGGTGAGATGTGAACTCACACTACCAGGGCATTAGCCTGGGCCTCTGGATTATTAATCCAGTGACAATGATCTTCTCAAACATTGAGTGATGCACTGTAGAAATTCACCAAAGATCCTTTGACAGCTCCCTCCAAACCCACGACCACGTCCATCTAGAAAGACAAAGGCAGCAGATATATGGGAACACCACAACCTTCAAGTTCCCATCCAAGCCACTCACCATCCTGACTCGGAAATACATCACTGTTCCTTCACCGTCACTGGGTCAAAATGCTGGAATTCCCCCCCCACCAATGGCATTGTGGTCAACCTACAGCAGGTGGACTGCAGCGGTTCAAGAAGGCAGCTCACCACCACCTTCTCAAGGGCAACTAGGGATGGGCAAGAAATGCTGGCTCAGCCAGCGACGCCCACATCCCACAAATGAATAGAAAAACAACCTCAGCATCATAGTGCAGTTGGTCTCAAAGCCGCACTAAGTTGAAAACCCAAAAGGCTAAAATGGTATATGCTTCTTTGCCTCACTGTAGGACAGAATCTCATTCTAAATCACAGTGACAACTTTACAGCAGAGCTGACAATGCTCACAACAAATACTGACTGGGACGTAAGTGTGTTTTCTTACCACTTCCATACCATTATCTGCAATATCTTCAGGCTGAGCTTGATCAATTTGGAACAGGGCCTATTTTATCTCCACTGCTAGTTAATGAAATGACATGTCAGACCGACAATCTAAATAAAATTATTCAGTAACTTATAAAAACACCCAGTGAGACACCAATGCAGTATCCAGTGGATGTAGTGAGAGTGGGAGTAAATTACATAAGTAGTAATCTAATTAAGGATTTCAGTGATGTTGAACAATGAAAACAAAGCTTAATAATTTATTAAATGAGAAAATAATACAAGAGGTAATTTCAAGTTGCCCACCAGTTTTTATTGGATTACACCAATCGAGATGTCAAGCGAAATGTATCCATGTATTCAATTCATTTAAAAACACGAGTGGAAAACACTCTTCCACAATTTTTCTTCCCTTTCAATCACTTGATTTCCCCATATTGAGGGGCTCACCAATGCCTGTCATTATCCGTCAACCAGCTATTTTACTTTGCTTTATTATAGAGTTGGTATTGCAAGTACATTTTGCTCACTCACTGGCAGGTCAGTGTGACCAATTACTGTCCGTGGGGTTACTCTCAGTCATCAGTAGACTGATAGACAGCTTCCACCAAGCAGGGTCAAGGGCAGAAATCACAAGCTCCAGTGCTGTGCCTGACCCAGGACGCCCAGGTCCAGCCCTGAGCACAAAGGCCCCATCCCTGACAGTACTGAGCCCTGGTTATTGGGCCAAGGCATATCCAATGCTTAGTTTGGATTCCATCAGGACCCTTGGCTCCTTTCCTCATTACAGCTGTTGTCATGGAGAACAACTTTGAATTACAGTAATAAAGTGAGTTACTATCAAGAAGCTGCAGTAAAATTGACATCAATGGGAATCAGATGGAAATATCTCCACTGACTGGAATCATTCCTTGCAAACAGAAGGATGGTTGTGGTTGTCAGAGGAATCATCTCAGTCCTACAGCATGGCCCCAGGAGTTCCTCAGGATAATGTCTTCAATCCAACCATATTCAACTACTTCATCAATGGCTACATCCATTGTAAAATCACAAGGGAAATGTTCATTAATGATTGTATTGTTCCATACATGGCTCTTCAGATACTGAAGCTGTCCATCCCACATGCAGCAAAACATGGACAACATTCAAGATTGGAATGATAAGTGGCAAGTAACAATTGTGTCATTCTGTACTCAATGACCTTCACCAAAAAGAATCTATCCACCTTTCCTTATGTTAATGAATTTCCCTCAACAATATCCTCAGGGATCAATGTTGACAACAAGCTGAACTAAATCAGCCATATAAATACTACATATGAATGGCTACAAGAACAAGTGACAGGCTAGAGATTCTGTAGCAAGTATCTCACACTGTAACAGGGAAAAGTGCGTCTAGCACTTACAGGGGACAAATCTAATGTGAAATTGATTACTTTCCATTTGCCTTGCTAAGTGCAACCCCAAAAGCATTTGAGAAACTCAACACCGTCCAGGATAAAGCAGCTTGCATCTGTCACCTTCGACATTCACTCACTTCACCACAGGAGCACTGTCACAGAAACTCGCCAAGGCTTCTTTAGCAGCACCTC